TGTGTGTGTGTGTGTGTGTGTGTGTGTGTGTGTGTGTGTGTGTGTGTGTGTGTGTGTGTGTGTGTGTGAGCAGCTCAAGTCAATATTATTGTAGCTAATTATAAATAAATTATTAAACCTATACATTTTTAAAACAATTTTTTAAAATCGTACCTTTAAACCCAACCTTCGAGAGGAGGAGATCTTAGATTTTCTCTGTGATTTGGGCAAACAGAACATTTATATTAACAACTGAAATGAGCAATTTTTTAATATAATTCTGAGAGACAAACATTAATCTTTGTTATGACAAAAATTTAAGTACTCACAGGTCTGATAGGGAACAATAGGAGAGATAAAATATAGCATACACGTTTTAAAATAATGATCATCAGCTTAAGTAAAATTTGAGATTTATTTTATGAGCGAAAAATAAATAAAGTAAAAGTTGTACGTACCCATCAGCCATGATTGTTTTAAAACTCCTGAACTGAATTCAGAGAAGCAACAGGAAATGTTTAGATGTTATTGTGGATTTTATAATAAGATTCCTAATTTGCTTTCATCAAATAAAATTGTTTTTCTTGATGGATGAAGTTTAAAAGAAATGTCTTTTTTACAATGCTGTATTGACTTTAAAATACAAATGAAAGCAGAACAATTTTCAAATTCTAACATCGACTCTATAAAAAAACACTTTGATTTTCTTATAAATCCTTTAAAGTTTTCAGAGTGTTTAAACTGACTGTGTTTGGAGGAGCGGAGGCAGCGAAGCCTGTTAAAATAACTGATGAGAGTTTTGACATACAGTTAGGTCATATACTGTATATTTGCACACTGACACAAATTTTGTCTTTTTACCTGTTTACTGAAACTTATTCAAGTTATAGTTACATATATAATGTATATGGTCATAAAGTCCAGACATTCAGCTTTCATTTGAGTGTATCCACATTAAAATTGGATAAAGGTTTTAGGAGTTTCAGCTCCTTAACAAGTGCCACCCTGTTTTTAAAAAGGACCAAAAGTAATTGGACAATTGACTCCAAGACTATTTCATGGACAGATGTGGGCAATCCCTTCGTTATGTCATTCTCAATTAAGCAGATAAAAGGCCTGGAGTTGATTTGAGGTGTGGTGCTTGCATTTGAGGTTTTGCTGTGAAGTAAACATGCAATCAATGGAGCTCTCCATGCAGGTGAAACAAGCCATCCTTAAGCTGCAAAAATAGAAAAAAAAACATCTGAGAAATTGCTACAATATTAGGTGTGGCAAAATCTACAGTTTGGAACATCCTGAGAAAGAAAGAAAGCACTGGTGAACTCATCTACGCAAAAAGACCAGGGTGCACATGGAAGACAACAGTGGTGGATGATCACAGAATAATCTCCATGGTGAAGAGAAACCCCTTCACAACAGCCAACCAAGTGAACAACACTCTCCAGGAGGGAGGGAGGCGTATTAATATCCAAATCTACCATAAAGAGAAGACTGCATGAAAGTAAATACAGAGGGTTCACTGCACGTTGCAAGCCACTCATAAGCATCAAGAATAAAAAGACTAGACTGGACTTTGCTAAAAAAAAAAACATCTAAAAAAGCAGCACAGTTCTGGAAGAGCATTCTTTGGACAGATGGAACCAAGATTAACCTCTACCAGAATGATGGAAAGAGAAAAGAATGGTGAAGGCGTGGTACAGTTCATGATCCAAAGCTACCACATCATCTGTAAAACACAGCAGAGCAGTGTGATGGCTTGGGCATGCATGGCTGCCAGTGGCACTGGGTCACTAGTGTTTATTGATGATGTGACACAGGACAGAAGCAGCCCAATGAATTCTGAGGTATTCAGAGCCAAACTGTGTGCTCAGATCCAGACAAATGCAGCCAAACTGATTGGTCATCGTTTCATACGCACAATGGGCCTCATGCAAGAACCGTTCGTACGCACAGATTTGTTCTTAAGTTGTGCGTACGAGTGATTTAGGAGAATTTGTGGCATTCACCAATGTTTTCGTATTCTAAGTTTTTTTCAGATACGAACAAAATTCACGAGTGGTCCAGACCTGTCGTATATTTTACGAGCAGTCAGTCTGCTGTTATCCAGACGGGTTTTCTTCACTAATAACTTTATATTTCGTTAGTTTGAAGATATTTTGAGTTGAAAATAAATCACACTCCATAATTATGTTGACAATAGGCTATTCTGCTTGAATTAGAGTTATAATTTTAAATGTAATAATTAAGACTAACAATATAAATTGTCCGTCCGGCCGGCTTATCCGCTATCGGGTAGTGGGGGCAGCAGCAGAGAGACCCCGCTCTCCCCAGCGACACTTTCCAGCTCGTCCTGGGGGACTCCGAGACGTTCCCAGGCCAGAGGGGATAAATAATCCCTCCAGCAAGTCCTGGGTTTTCTCCAAAGTGCCATTCTCATTTTGAAAACATTTTAAAAAGCTTATTTCAAACCCGCATCTGAGACCACCTGCGACCACGGGGGGGCTACGGTGCGCAACGGTGTGTCTTCTGAAAAATTAAAATGATTTAACACAGTTGTTTATACTTTTAGCAGCTCTTTTTTATTCCACAGCTGACCTGCTAAAAATGACAGATTTTCTTTTCTGGATCTCTGACAGACGGACTTCAATCTCTGAACTCGTAAAGTTTTTCTTTTTAGTTTTCGCTGTCATTTTCATGAATGAATGGACACTTCCTTGTATCTGAGGCAGGAAACATAGCCTTATATGGTGTTTTTGGGGTGGTAATTATGCTAATCTCCTCTCGCGTGCACGAGCAGCTGGATACGAACAGGTGGAATTTACACAGCTCATTTACGTACTTTTCCTGAAGATAGAAGAGTTTGTTGAATCTGACGTGACATGTTTGTACGAACCCTTCGTACGAACAAAAGTAAGAGAAATTTAGGATAAGAATACGAACATGTTCTTGCATGAGACCCATTGACACAAAACAAAGCCAAAGCAACACAGTAGTTTATTGAAGCAAAGAAGTGGAATATTCTCGAATGGCCAAGTCACTCACCTGATCTCAACCAATTGAGCAGCATTTCACTTGTTAAAGACTAAGCTTCAGACAGACAGGCCCACAAACAAACAGCAACTGAAATCCTGCTGCAGTGAAGGCCTGGCAGAGCATTAAAAAGGAGGAAACACAGCATCTGGTGATGTTCATGAGTTCAAGACTTCAGGCAGTCATTGCAAGCAAAGTGTTTTCAACCAAGTACTAGAAATGAACAGTTTATTTACAATTATTTCATCTGTCCAATTACGTTTGAGCCACTGAAATGAATGGATTGTGTTTAAAAGATGCTTTAGTTCCTCACATTTTGTGCAATCATTTTGTTCAACTCACTGAATTAAAGCTGAAAGTCTGAACTTCAACTGCATCTGAATTGTTTTGTTTAAAATTCATTGTGGTAATTCCTAGAAACAAAATTAGAAAAATGTTGTCTCTATCCAAATATATATGGGCCTAACTGTAGGTGACGAAAAAGGTGAATGAGCAGATAAACCCCAAGGCATGTGAGATGAGCAGCTGTTAATGTTAAACAATAACACCTCCATAATAAAAAGCCAACTGCAGGGTAAGACTACAACTTACAGATAATACTGTAATTAATTTGCTAAAACAAAACTATGGACTCATTCCCAGCGATTTAATCCAAACAAACATTTATAAGCATCAGAAATCTGTACCTCGTTCAGAACCTGAAGACAAATGTAGCAGCAGGGCTCCTTGGGCTTTCTGAAAGACGATGGAAAAGCATCACTGAAATTTATAGTGTCTCCCCTAAACGGAATGGCTCACTAAAATAGAGCCGCTTCTACTCCCACCAACAGTGACATTTACAGTGGTCCACAACTTCACAACAATTTTCAAACTGCAAAGGAGGTCATAAAACCCCCTTTATAGGCTTGTGTAGTTGTTATCCTAACATTCTTGTAACACCTGTTAGTGGATGTGGCAGTGTAATTTTAAAGAAGTAAAACCTCAGTGCAAAGCATTTATGCTGACCAGAACTAAAGTTTGGAAGATGTTGTTCAAGTGAAGTTTAGTTTTGTTAAATTGTTCTAAAGCTTCATTTACAAGTTAGGTTATGTTTTGTGTCTTCACTCCAAAAAGCTACAAGTATGGTAAGTATTATCTTACACCAGCTGTGAATGTACCGACATGACAATTCCTCTACATGTTTATGATGGATTCGTGTAATCTAATAACGCCTCACGCGAGTGAGGAAAAGCCAAAGGTTGATCTTGTTTTATTTAGCCCTGCAGAGGAACAAGGACAGGTGCTCATCAGGGCCTGGTGGTTTAGAGACTGAGCCAGTATGAGTTCAGCTTGTGTCGATGTTGTTACAGAGACCAGTGTTCATACTGAAGGCTGCGACTTCCATCATTGCAGAAGAAAAGGAAGAATAGCCAAGAACACATTGAGGGTTAAATTGTCAGAAGGTTTTGTAGGATTATGAACTGGAAACAAAACCAGGTTTAAAGGATTTATTAGTGGACTGCTTAGTGAAAAACCAATGATCCCTCGGGTTGGCATGCTGTGGGAGAGAAGACTGATGAGCGTCCAAAATACTGATAGTGGATTTGCGAAAACAAAGAGTAGTGACTGACCTTTGTTCAACAGGAGGACTGGACCTGGTTTGTCCACAGAAGGTGGTTTCCAGAGGTGGAGCGAATCCAGGTGAGGGACTGAGCAGGTTTTGGGTTTCCAAGGTTTGGTCCAAGGTCAAAGCCAGAGAGCCAAAAACAAATCCAAATCGTGATCCAAGGGGCGAGGTCCAGATAGCAGAAAAAGTGTCGGAAGCCAGGTGTCAGAGTCCGCATCAGAATCAGGCAAGGGGCAAGCAAGAGGCAGAGATCAGGGTACAGGATGAGAGTCAAAATTGAGAGATCAGGCATGAGCAAGGATTGAATGCTGGACATCTACTATAGGCAAACCTTTCAATAATCTGGCAAAGGCAGACTGAGAGCATACATAAGGCTTAAAAAGGGAGGTAAAAAGGTGAAGGCAATGGGGCTGATTGCTGTTTCTGTGATGGGAGGGGTGAGACAATGAGCATGAGAGGCAGGAGAGCAGACAAAACATGACATAAATGGTGTTTTTAATGTCACATTTTCTTTCTTTAAAATGCTTCAATAACTTAGTTTTGGTATGGAAATAACATAAAAACACACAAAAAAGGCTTTTTAGATTTTCAATACTTCTGTTCTGTTTTCTTGTTGTTGTTTTTTTGTTTGTTTTGTTTTTTCACACCTTTTTCTGATGTCTATTAGCTTCCTCTATGTCCAGTCCTGGCTCAGAACTTTGTCAGTTGTTGTTGTTGGGGTTTTTACACAAAGCTCTGCTTATATCAGCTGAAGAAAATCAAAAGAAAATAGAGGTAAAACTGAAATGGTTTTATTTTGAAGGTGAGGGTAAATTGGGGGAATGAAAGACAAACAGTGTGATTGGGTCCACAGAGCTTAGGAAGAAGAGCTGCCAGGAGTCTCAGGTACTCTCTGAGATTCTGTGACAGAGCACAGGTAAGTTGAATAACAAGTTTTTGGGGAGAATTCCACTTAGAAAAGTGCTGATTGATTCATCAAGTGATGTTTAAAATCCCAACCATGAATGGTCTCAGCTCAGTTTTGAATACTCCTGCTGTCATTACAGTCAGGGTAATGGTTATGGTGACTGGAGAAGAATAAAGAACCCAAACAGGAAAAGCTGTAAAGTGCTATCAGGTGAGGTGGCCCCATCCGGCTGTAGAGAATGCCCTCTGAATCATTCTGAAGAAAAACAGAATGGAGCCTTAACATACCATGGGGGGGGGGGGGGGGGGCACCCGGGGGCACCCACATCCAACACCAATCTAGTCTTTAAGAGGGTCAGTATGTAGACTTTATCCTTAGTTTTGTTCCTATTGGCTCTTGTGAAAAACCAACAAAAACCGCTCCTTCTTTTTGGGCAGCAAGGATTCTGTTTACTTCCTGTGCCAGGTGTACCACCAAACAATAGTCTCAACACAAATACCAACATGCATACATCAAGTTTTATATATATAATACTTTTTCCAGATTTTTGCAGTTAAAGTGTTGCACTGTACAAGAACAAAATACCTAATTGTACATAGTGAAAATATGGTGCATCATCATAAAGCAAGGATTGTGTGTTAGCTATATTTAAAGTACAGCAATACAATTCATAAAACTGTTTTTCCCCTCTGGTTAATAAATAAGGATTATCATTATATTTATAAAAAGGTAAAAGATTCAGTCTGTTAAAACACTGTAATGTTTTAAACATCATGTCACAATTCTTTATTCAACAATATCGTGTAAAGCAGCGCCATCTTCTGTGCAAAGTAAATACTGCACTTTACAATTATTGTCCTGATCACAGAGTCGGTATAAAAACATAGTGTCCTCGCTGGACTGAGAATTTTTACTTCTCTTAGCAGACTCATAACATCTGGTTGCATCTTGCAGCCAATTTACATTTAGTCCTGATAAAATAGTGAAATAAACCGTTTATTTTATTAGGAGAGGTAAAACTTCTGCCATGTTTGCAATCATTCTGGCATATTGTGAAAATAAAATCATAATAAGGAGAAAATATCTTGGACTTGAGTTTTGCAAACTTAGTAAGATGGTGTTTTGCTAAAGGCTCTGTCATATTGTATTGTTTATAGACACCTTATGAACATTTTTTATGAATAAAATACTCATAAAGGTCATGCATTCATTCAACTTGTTAGCATGACAATATGTATGTGTACAAAAAATAGATATTTTCAGTTTTGGACAAAATTTTCAGACACTGTCATAAGTCATCTAAAACGTTACAGTGTGACACGGTCTTAACATGAAAATCATCTTATTGTCCTGCATTAAAGAGCTTCTTCCTGCCCTCCATACCAGACAGGGCCTCTACATTCTTACGCCAGTCGGTCACTTCTTCCTTCTGTAAAAAAAGAAGAAAAAAAGAAGCAATTAACTGTAATCTATTTTATTTCTTTTTATGACTTGCCTATTTTTAATTTACCTTGTCTTCATCTTTCTTTACTGTCTTCAGGTTGGCCTTGAAATCAGCCTTCATGAGTTTGGAGGTGTCGGTGCAGGCGCCCAGCATGTCGTCTGTTGTCTTCTTTACCCTCTTTAAACTGGGCTTCTTCATACCCTTCAGCTCGTAAATCTTGTGTTTCAGGGACTGAATCTGATTCAGAAAACATCTCAGCTGAAGACGAAACTCCAACAGTAATCCTAATTAGGTAACATTTTGCGTACCTCGCTCTCATTTTTTTCTACTTTAACACCCATGTCATAACGAGCCTCGTCCACAACGTCAATCTTCTGGTGTAACTCTTTGCAAAGTTCCTGAAGAGACGAGCAAGCCGTGGTCAAAGCGGTGTTAAACATTAATTCATGACTGGGAAGTGATGCAGCTGTACCTGGAGCTCCTGGACCGACAGACCTGACAGCTTCAGTGGTGGGACGCACTCGTCCACGACTCTTTGTTTCTCCAGTTCTTTCTCCTTGGTTTCAGCTGCCAGCATAGAAGCTGCCTTCTTCAGCAGCTTGGACTGAAATATGTGAGAAAAAGACCTTAATAACCTGTAAAAACACTAAAATGCCAGATTCAGCCAGCAGGACTGACTTTTATGAGCAGTCGACGAGTCGCTGCAAATTTCTTCCTCTTTCTCTAAAAGAAATAAAGGACATTTGTGTATTAATGATGCAACAGATCTAATGTAAGTTTTTTAATTGCGCACCAATATACTTTGAGATAAGTTTATGATTAAACATGATGACTCACCGGTCTGCATTATCACATTGAACCAAAAGCAGGGGTTGGGGTGGATGTCCCATGAAAAACAAAAGAAAAAACCACAAGCAACAATAATAGGTATAAACATAGTCAGTATAGCCAATATAGCCTCTTGTATAATTTTTTTATTATTTAAAACACTGAAAATACTGAAATGTGTTGGCTTTATGATGTCATTACTCACCCCTCAGACATGACAGCAGCTTATAGTTCCTTTGATGGAAGAAAAATATATTAAACCTATTTTTCATTTCATTACAACTGTAAAATATGTATTTTACAACACCAGTATTTTTATATGATTGGTAAATATCTGTTATTTGTTGAATAATTTAGTTTGAATGTGGACAGTGAGATAAATTTGGTCTCTTTGATATTTGTTCTGTTGGTATAACAGGCGCTGAGGTGGAGCTTCTATTTTTGACCACATTCTCCTCTGCTTAGAACTACAGTGGCCTTGATTATTCCAGAAAAGCAATACAAATAAACAAAACTAGAAACATTTATACCACTTTATTTCTGCTCTTTGAGTCTGGCATTGTCCTTGAAATCATTGGATGAAAAATCCAAGGTAAGAAGGCATCTCATCCACCTGCAGCTTTCCAGTTTCTACAAGTTAACGATAATCAGCTGTCACATCAGTCACCAATTCGCTGCTGACCAAGCTCAATTGGCATTTTCTGACTTGGAGGATCAAGAATTCACCAAGAAGGATGAGGTGAAAGTCAAGAACAGGCTGCCATGTTCAGAAAGCCACATCAGGACCTCGACAAAAGTAACGACTTGGCTCAGCTTGCCTGTCAGAAATACCAGAGTAGTGTCCGTGTCAGGAGCGTGCAGATATGCTTACACTCTTTATTACTTTAGTAAAGACCGACTTGACTTTACTCCGACAAATACTGGAGTGTTGATATGTCGAGAGAATTGTCCCAGCAGGAGAGTTTCCATTCTTCACCCAAACTACACATATACGTCTTTTATTTCTATTTGATGAATGTGGGTTTGATAGTTGGACTTACCTTAATGTTGAGAGAAAATCAGACAGGCCAGCAGTTCAGCAGCGGATCAGACACAGGAAAAACACTTGTGATTAATGCTGAAACTTCTCAAAGCACTGTGCGATTGGCTCATTAAAATAGACCTCTGTCCACCTGACTCACTATGCACAATGCCTTTTTGATTTGCCCTCAACCCATGACCCATTTATTTCATGTGATTGTGCTGCACAAGGACACACCTCACGCATCTCTTGTCTGACTGACAGCTGGTCCGCCCTCTGTGCAGAGAGGCCATGATCTCAGGGCACGTGTTGCTTTTAACGTTTGTGTCGTGGTGTTGTCAAGCAGAGGGCAGAGAAGAGCAGGCATGACCTGTTGTTTTGTTGGAATGAAAACTGGGGCTGAGATGTTGGCCTTTTGTCACCAGAAGCTGTGTGGTTTATTGTGTTGATCACAAACGCACTGAACGCTCTAGTTGTTTGAGGAAATCCCATTAAAAATGGAGATGTTCAGTCTGAACAAAGGCCTGCATGCAGACAGACTGACACTACTGTTAGTTCACCTGAAAAATGGCAAAGCTAAAACAAAATATAGTGTGGGTCTAATATCATAGGCTTTATAAAATGTGATAAGGTCTCAAACTATTGGATAGTTTAGATTACCGGTAGATATATCCTAACTGATTTCATGGGAAATTAAAGTAAATAAATGCTATTGTACCATGCATACCTGGTTGTTCTTTAGAAATCATATTTTAGTACAGCTATATGTATGAGGAAGCAAAAATGCCAATTCTCATTTATAGAAATGGGTGTAAAACAGCTAAAATTGTAGAAAATGCTGAATAGTAGGAAAGTTTAACAAGAGGTATGTGTACATATAATGGTTATATCTAGATAAGTAATATATCATTGAAAATTTTATTAATTGTTGTTGTATAATTTATATAAAAAATCTCAATAGTCCTACTGAAATCATTACTGTAATTTAGAATAAGGAAACAGAACGTAAGGTTATGAATATAACCACGGTTCCTTGAAGGAATGGAACGAAGTACAACACACAGTTATGGGACACGCGCACCCTCACGTGCCTGGCTGAAGCCACCTCTAATCACATATTTAGACCGGTGACGTTGAACGTCAGGAGACAGGCCCCGCCTTCACCCTATAAGTTCGGAGTCGCCAGCGTCATTACTCAGATACCGCCCTTCACCGAGCCTTTTGTGATGCGGGGCCAACAAGGGGTTGTACTTCGTTCCATTCCTTCAAGGAACCGTGGTTATATTCATAACCTTACGTTCCTTTTCAGTCATTTCACTCAGTACAATACACAGTTGTATATGGGAATTGTCAAAGCGCCCCGTAGAGCAGTATCAGACCTGAGTTAAGTAGTGTGCCTGAATAAGTACTGTACTAATGCAGAGCTTTGGACCCGGCAGAAAGTACAGAATGAGCCACCGAAGGTGCTGTTACATCCAGGCTGTAAAATCATGCAAATGTGTTTGGTGAGGCCCAGCTGGCCGCAGCACAAATGTCACTCACAGGTACCCCTTTAAAAAGGGCCCAAGATGTCGCTACACCCCTGGTAGAGTGAACTTTAACTCCAAGAGGGATTGGAAGGTTTTTGCTGCTGTATGCTAGCAAGATGGCCTCTACAATCCAGTGACAGAGTCTTTGTCTAGAAAGAGCTTTACCTCTGTGTGGGTTAGCAACAGCCACAAACAGCTGATCACATGACCTTACATCCTGTGTGCGGCTGATGTAAGTGCGTAGAGCACGTACGGGGCACAGAAGATGCAGCCTCTTTTGCTCCTCAGATGCAAAAGGGCGGGGGGTGAAAGCTGAAAAGCTCTATAGACATAGATTTGTAACTAGCAGGTATCACCTTAGGAAGATAAGCAGAGTTAGGGTGCAAAACCACTTTAGAGTCATTAGTAGAAAACTGGATACAGTAGGAGTTCACTGAAAGAGCGTGGAGGTCCCCAACCCATTTAGCTGTAGCAAAAGCCAGAAGCAAAGCAATTTTATGTGAAAGAAACTTCAACTCTACAGACTCTAGAGGCTCAAATGGAGGGTCGCAGAGAGCCTCAAGAACCACAGTGAGGTCCCAAGAGGGAATACTGGGTTCAATAGCAGGCCGTAGCTTACAAACCCCTTTCAGAAAACGTACAGCTAAAAGATGATCACCAGGTGTGACTCCATCAAAACCTACATGGCAGGCAGAAATGGCTGCTRAGTAGACTTTAATTGTGGAGAAGGAGAGCCCTTTATCCAGTAGCTCCTGAAGAAATGTTAAAACATCTCCTATTGCGCACTGAAAAGGGTCCAGGTGCCCGTTCTTACACCATCGCTCAAAAGCTTGCCACTTATAGGAATATAATCCTCTAATGGATGAAGCTCTTGCGTTTTGGATAGTTGCTATTACTGCTGGAGAAAGGCCTTTGGCTAATAAGCTGGACCTTTCAGCAGGTAAGCATGCAGCTTCCATAGTTCTGGGTGTGGGTGAAAAATCTCCCCCTCTGCCTGAGAGAAGAGATCTCGTCGAACCGGAAGTTGCCAGGGTTGAGCTGCTAGCAAGCTGATTATCTCGGCGTACCAAGACTTCGCTGGCCAGCGGGGTGTCACTAAGATCAAAGACAGGCTCTGTCCGCACACCCTCTCTAGTACAAGTGGTATCATTTCCACTGGGGGAAACACATACAGAAGTACACTGGGCCAAGGATGAGCTAGGGCGTCCACTCCCAGAGGAGCGCTCTGCTCTGTCATGGAAAAGGACAGAGGACAGTGTGTGTTTGCTCTGGAGGCAAACAGATCTACTGTCGCTTTGCCAAACAAAACCCAAATCTTGGGCCACCACAGTGGGATGCAGCCTCCACTCCTTTGCTAGAGGTCCGCCCCTGGAGAGGAGGTCTGGACCYRGGTTCAGTCTCCCCGGAACATGAATGGCTCTGATAGACAGAAAATGAACACTGCTCCACTGTAAAAGAGTGTGAGACAGGTTCAGTAGGGGAAGGGACCGAGTCCCCCCTTGTCTGTTTATATAAGAGACCACTGCTGTGTTGTCCGTTCTGATTAGAAGATGATGGTTCTCCAGAACTGGACAAAAATGTTTYAGTGCTAACAGGACTGCTAACAATTCTAGGCAGTTTATGTGGAGCCTGGACTGTTGTGGAGTCCAGGTTCCCCTCACCGCCGCGCCGTCGCACAGGGCTCCCCAACCTTTCAGGGAGACGTCTGTGGACACCACTTTGCAGAACGACACCCTCCCTATTAGAGAACCCTGATACAGGAGGCCGGGTTCCCTCCAGGAGCTGAGAGCCGTCATGCAGGAAGCAGTTATTGTTAGCTTTTTGTGTCTGTGTCGAGATGGACACAGCCTGTGGGACTGAGACCAACGCTGAAAACGGCGCATTTTTAACAGCCCGAGTGGTACTACTGAAATCATGGAAGCCATCATTCCCAGTAACTGTAGTACAGTTTTGAAGCTCATTTTGCGTCCCAGTTGAAACTGAGCTAAGCAGCGGTGAAACGCGGCCGCTCTGTTTTCTTAGAGGTGAGCCCTGCTTGACAAGGAGCAGATTTCTAGTCCGAGGAACGAAAACTGCTGACTTGGTGTTAATAGACTTTTCTGGGTGTTTACTAAAATCCCTAAAGCCTGAATGTGTGACAGGACCTGAGACAGCTGATCTAATGTTTGCTCCTTGGAGCTTGTGATCAGAGCCCAGTCGTCTAAATATGCTAACAGACGGACCCCCTTTCCCTGAGGGGAGGCAACGCAGCTTCTACGCACTTTGAAAAGGTGCGAGGAGCTAGCGATAAACCGAACGGTAGCACCAGGTACTCGTAGGCTAAACCCTCGAAGGCGAACCTGAGATATTTTCTGTGCTCCGGTTGATTCGCTATGTGAAAATAGGCATCTGTCAAATCGATGGTCGCAAACCAATCGCCCAGGCTGATCGAGTGAATTAGCTGTTTGAGCATTAACATTTTGAACCTGTATGTTTGAAGGTACCGGTTTAACACTCTCAGATCCAAAACAGGCCGCAGGCCGCCCCCTTTCTTCGGAACAAGAAAATAACGGCTGTACAGACCTTTTTGTGTTTCTGTAGCTGGAACCACTCGAATAGCTCTCTTTGTTAACAATGTGCAAATTTTCTCTCTTAAAATGGCGGCTGCCTCGTTTGTCACCACTGTGTTTACAATGGCCTGAAAGCGGGGCGGTCTGACGCAGAACTGCAGCCTGTAACCCATAGCAACAGTTCTTTGTACCCATGGAGAGGGTGCACATGCGCGCCAGAGAGGGAGTCGCGTTGCAAAGCGACTGACTTGCCTTACTGTCGGAGACGTGTCGCTGCTGCCCTCCACTGGATGGGGAAGGGACAACATTAGTCGCCCGCAGCTTATTGTGTTTGTTTGTGCACAAAGATAATTCTTTAATGACACATTGAAGACATTTGCAGAACTGTTTATTAAAGTTTTGCCTTTTAAAACACAACTTGCACCCAAAGAGGGGGCTACATGTTTTTTGTTTATTTTTCGGGACATTAAGAGAGGAGACTGAACATTTGAAACCCAACGCCTCTTGGGGACGTTTTCTGAAACTCAAACATTTAAATGTCTTTTCAACTCCGTCGCCGTCGCCGCTCTCTTGAATGGAGGAGGATGAGACGCAGACCTGGATGTGCTCGGGGCCTTGGGCCTCGTGTCACTTCTGGGGATGATGCAGCGAAGTGCCTCAACCTGCTTCTTCCTCTGTTCAAATTTGGTTGGGATGACGTCAAGCGCTTGACCAAACAGTCCTGTAGGCRTTATCGGTTCATCCAAGTAGGCCACTCTGTCCTTGTTGGGAACGTCTGAGAGCGTTAGCCACAGGTGCCTCTGCGCCACCACAGTAGAAGCCATTCCTTTCCCCAGAGCCAGCGCTGCACAGCGGGACACACGCAGAATGTGGTCTGACACAAGTCTGATCTCGTTCAGCAGGGGTAAAAGGAGGTTTTCCTGCAGCATCTGAGCTGCCAGTTCAGCCAAGGCCATGGCCTGGTAGGTCTGAAGCATGGTGACAGAGCACAGCGCATGGGCGGTGTTACCTTGGGCTTTGTAGATTTTCTCCAGCTGTGCTGAAGAGAATCTGTAGGGCTTGGAAGGGAGCGGGGTGGGCCCGCTCACACCCTGGTTGTGAGACGGAGCCAAATAAGCGGCTAAAGAAGGCTCCATCGGAGGGATGCCCACCAGGCCTGCTTGGTCTGCCCCTTCCACATCCAAGTACTGACCCTGTCCGGGCACAAAGGCACGGATGGACAGCGGTTTGCTCCAGGAAGACGTCAGCTCCGACACAAAGTCCGGAAACAWAGGCAGACGGTGCTTCACATCAGCCAGTTCAGACGGGAGATAAAACCCTGCGAACCTCGACGACTTTTAAGCAGGTTGGGGGGGGGGGGGGTAGATCCAGTAGAAACTGGGTCTCGCCCCCCTCGATGTCGGGTGAGGCCGCCTCGTGCTCCATCTGGTCCGCCCAGCTAGCAGCAGGGGCTTTGACCGCCGAATCCCTCATCTTCGTCGGACTGAGCCATCTGGCTGGATTCGGAGAGCAGCGGGTCTTGTTAGAAAACAGCAGTTTCCCCCAGCATTTTCTCCAGGAATTTCACTCTCCTCTCCAGTGTCGGACGCGAAAGTCCGGCACAGGCCCGGCAGGACTCGGGCTCCATAAGCGCCCGTCGAGCGTGAATGATTCCTAGGCAGGCCGGGCAGGCCTCATGCTGGTCCTTCTCATGAAGCTTAAAGCCACACCTTTGAGGACAGGGGCGAACAGAAGACTTTGGCTTCTTCGAAGGTGGTTTTGTGCTCATCGTGAACCACAAAACAGATTTTCTTCAGAAAATAAAGGTCACTTAAGTAGCATCGAGCAGCAGACACACGAACCAGCAGGTAACGCGGTTAGCACCAGTAAAGCTAGCCTAAGAACCTAAGAAGCTGAACTAACTAGCAGCAGCTATGTGAGCTCAGGTTTAGAGGTGACTATCACAAGGTGAAGGGCGATAGAACTGAGTAATGACGCTGGTGACTCTGAACTTATAGGGTGAAGGCGGAGCCTGTCACCCGACGTTCAACATCACCACGTCACCGGTCTAAAGACGTGATTAGAGGTGGCTTCAGCCAGGCGCGCGTGTCCCATATACAACTGTGTGTTGTACTGAGTGAAATGACTGAAAAGGAACCCATTATTATTATTTGTAAGATTTTGAAAAGGGCAGAGTTAAATAAGTTTGTACAGTTTTTTTGTTTTAATACATTATATTTTTATTTTTATACGTATTTGAAATATTCTACAAATCACTATCCATATGAAGTGAGTCAAAAGACATTTATTACAGTTAATTTTATGTAAAAACATGTAATATGCATAAAAAAGTCACAGACACATGCTTAAAAGTTAAAAAAAATGAGCAATGTTATACACTCATTCAAAACATATAATTACACTGCAATTGTCATATTTAATGTAAACAATTTTATCCAGTTTACACAGTAAATGTAGCTGAAGTTAAGACAAGGACAGCTGAGGTCATCTAAGGTAAGTGAACAAAAAAGCAAACTGAGTACGCTTCAACCCAGTGAGGTCCAAACAGATTGACTGTACTATTGCTGCTGCTGTTTTATTTATAAAGCACTTTAAAATAACCACAGCTGCATGTAAAAAAATTAAACACATTAAAAACAGAGAAAAAACAGTTAATGCTAGGTATAAGACCAATAAAAATAAATATGAGTAAAATAAACAAAAGCAAGTCTCAGGCTGTGCCTGACGAAGATTCAAATCAACAAGCTGAACAAGTCTTTTTAGGGAAACAATGAGATGGCATTGTGTCCTCACTTGTGAAAAATTCCTTTATCTTGAGTATGCAGACAGGTGACAGTGGTACAGAAAAACTGTTTTACAAGAAAAAATCTGAATAAGGCTCTGGATTTGGCCTTCTGCCATGATCATCTGGGGGTTGAGCAGATGGAAAAGAGACGCAAACAAACAAAATATTGGGCCTGAAATAGTTTCTACAAGAGAAACAAATACAAAACATGGAGAGAAGAGAGAGTAAAAACAGCAGTGAGGAAATGTGGTCAGTATGTTCTTCAGTAGTCTAAACCTATAAAAACTAGGGGATAGCCCAGGAAAGCCAAGCCAACCCCAATATAGGACTTATAAAAAAGGAAAGTTTTAAGCCTTGTTTCTAAAGTAGACAGGGCTTCAGCCTCACAGATAAAAACTGGAAGCTGGATCACACAAGAGAGGCGCCTGATAACTATAAATAGTTTTATTTCAGGATGGTAGTCTTGGGATAAAAGAAGTACTAAATACTCTGCCACTACCATTGTCAGTATTTTTCTTGTTTTCTGGTAGATTTTTTTGTGTTTTTAGATTTATTTTCCTCTTGTTGTTCATGTCTTGATATTATGATTGTTTTCCCAGTTTCAACTGGGCAATCTGTGATTTTTTTTTTCCTCAGTCAGGTTCTGACTTTCTCCGGCCCTGCTTGCTTTCACCTGTCGCCCAGGTGTCTCCACTCTGGTCATCTGCCCCTGTCCATACAGTCACTCAGGTTCCAATCCACCTTCAGTGTTGCATTGTGTGTTTGAGCTTTATGCCACACCTGGACCTTTATGTCACCTTCCCTTGCTGCTGCATCAACTTTATGCTTTTAGTAAGTTTACAACTCATGTCAGTCTGTATTCCTGGGTTCCGGTTTCCTCAAACTGTAACAGCCAAGTCACGTGACACCAGGGTCAACTTCACTAAATAAAAAGTACTTTTATATTTGTATTAAAAACCACTCTGGTGTCTGTATCATACTTATGACATTGCTCCTATTCAAAGGACACGTCGGTACAAGTGTTACAAACTGGAGGGGTTTCAGAGGCAGCGTCTGTGTGTTTGTCACGTGATCTGTAAGCTGATACAACTGACCTCATTGTCCAGCAGGAGACACAGTAAGTCTGAGACAATGTGACAAGAATTAACACACAGCTACAGCTACATTTCTGCCCAGCAGAAATTAATCCCTGTCAACAAAGTTGTGCAGTTAGAGGATTTAGTGTTCAAACTCCTGAATGCCTTGTTGGCTCTCTGTATATTTTTGTTGCTTTCACGTAATTTTGCCGCAAGTCATTCTGGAAATAAAATACAGTTTAAGATGAGTTCAGGTTCACAAACAAGGGTTTTAACCAGCTGAATGCATAATTACATCATGCATGTTTACAAAAAAATGTTGTCACCTGGATTGAACTAAGCAAATAGGTATGAACCTCCTATTGGATAATTACTGTGCGATAATCAAAGCTGGGGAGCGGGGGCTGTTTTTGGCCAGGCTGTGCATGTACAAATGTTTAAAAAAAAGCAGGTTTGAACATATTAAATAATGATTGAAGACTGAGCATTCTTTGAAGAAATTCCACCTTTCATGACAGTGTTTTTGAACTAAATCATTATCTGTAGCTGTGTAATGACAGAGACATTTTGGACACGATTTGAAATTAATATGTGCAATCTCGAGCAGGATCACTAGATGGCAGTATCTGTAAAACTGACTGAAATATGTTAATAACTGTGACTGACTGCCATCTTCAAATGCAGTGGTGAGAAGTGGTGAGAAACTGAGTGTGGCTAGAATACTACCAAAATGGTATGATGTATCAGCGAAGAGCTGACAGTCTGGATTCATTTCAAAGCCCCAGTGGCTCATTAGGAGAATCTTCCTCAGGTGTGCAGGAACAGTGAGGCAGCCAATCATCAAACATGAACACAAAATTGCCAATCATAACAGCTTTAGTGCTTTAGGGGAAATGTGCCCACCTCTGTTCAAATGACTTGACTCCAACCAGTAATCAGTTGTACATGCATCCTATGTTTACTTCAGGATAGTTTCAGTAAAATTTGCACACAAGATACTTTACTAACAGGCAGGAAAGACACAGCTGACACCAAAGCTTCAGGAACAGATTTTACACGATCAGTCAGAGTTCAGGTTGTATGATGAAGCGGACTCTCAGCTACTACCAGACCAAATTTTAGTTCTGCAAAAGTGGCTGAGGTTAAAACATGTTTATGTTTGTTAATTTTTTTATTTGTTGCAATGCCCCGACTTGATTGAAGCTGACCCCAAAAATGAATCGATGCTACATGTCAGTTAGTGGTGGCCCTACCACTTACTCGTACACAATGCCCTGATACTCTGAACCAAAACAAACACCAGTTTACATTTCAAGTGAAAGGTTTGTCATTTCCATTATACAAGTTGAAAGAAAATAATTAAATTTGTTATTTTAATATGTTGCAGCAGTATATATCATGCTGTTTATTTGATTTGATCCAGTCAGAGGGGCTGTAGGTCTATAAGGAAGGAGAGACACTTTGTTCTAAATAAAAATTAATATGTTTTTAAAGTCATTTTGTAACATTTAAGTTCTAACTTGGTAACTACTTGGTATCGTAATCGGTATTGGAGAGTATCTAAACTACTTGTACTCGTGAGTACATGTGAGTATCAGTCACATGGAGGCAGGGCTTAAAAGCCTGAATTTTGCCTGAAACTCTCAGACTGAAGAAGTCTCTTGGARGAGAGACGAAACGTTTCATTAGAGAAGAACCCGTCCAGAAGACCTATACAATTTTTTTTCTTCTTTACTTGTACTCGGTTTGAGAAAAACTGGTACCGGGACACCCCTGCTTTCAGTAGTGGGTGATAACTAATTAACTTTTAATTTAATTAAACTAATTAAATTACCTGAACCTGTAGTTAAACTTCCTTGAGTTCCTGCAGAAACAAGACATTTTCTTTATGTAAACCGTCACTGCCCCCTGGAGGCAATGTGATGCTTAGAAAAGTTGTGAGTGTAAATGCACAGAACAGAGCAGACACAAACACACAAATGCACACACACTCAAAACAAACACTACTGAAGGAAAAACGTCCACTCTGCAGTTAGGTGGTGTATCCGCTGAACCATGCTGCAATCTGATGTTATCGTTGAGGACAGAAGTCATGAACCACACTTGGAAACACCTCCTTCCTGTTGTTCAGAAGTCAGGGCTCGGTGAGAATAAAACAATTTCACACTGTGTGAAATCACATCACTTTGACCTTTATAGTCGTCAGAAACACTCAATCACGATTCAATTGTGATTTTCTCAAATTCACGCCAAAGCTGCATGATTTTCATAATGATTCATTTTTCCATTTTGTTTCTTTATTTGACTGCTGGACTAACAGCATCGTTGTCCTCTCCCAGGATTTTGGACATGCGCCTGGACTGCAACCAAACGGTGAAGCTTTAATTTTATACATATTCACAGGTAGTCTTAATTGGACAGACTTTCATAAAAATGCTGTTTGTGTTTTCATTTATCTTGTATGTCAAAAGGGTATTTCCAACTGTAAACTTGGTAAGTACTTTTTCTGTCAGATTCAAGTACCTATTGTTCATAGTAAAATGAAAAACACAAAGAGCTCCTAATCCTAACCTAACCCTGGAAAATAATATTTTTTGTGTCTTTGCTATTATCTCTAAAATGAAATAGATTTGGTGTCAGCTAATGAATTTATGCTAGAACTTGTTTATTTTATCCATCTGTTCGCACCAAACATGATATAAAAGATTATTAATTTGTGGAATAACCTAAAGAAAGGAGCCCAGTTCTTCTCAATAAACTTGTTTGTGAATGTCATTAAAATGGACACGCTGTGCATTAACATGAAACATGTTAATAACAGATAACTGCTCAGAAATGAACAAGGTTCTTAGATCCGACGCTCCTGTTGATCCATTGTGGGATTCAGAGCAAATAGAAACCAGGATGGAGAACCATGTATATGTTGCTGTTGTGAACATAACTTGGTCAATGCAGGCTGATGGTGAGTAATCTGTTACGACACATGCTTCATGTTATCATAGCTGCAGTTTGCTTTTATTGTGGCATGTGTAAGCCGGTCAGACATGACTCAGGCGTTCATTGATAAAAATTTTGCGCTTGTTTCTGTTAACAGCATCGATTTACAAAATTCTTGGATCGAAGATAACGATCGTGGATGAAAGTGCGAATCAGACTCTGTGTGTGCAGTTTTCTTACTCTTTTAATGATTCATTAACAGCAATGTCACAGTATCAGTATAAAAGGGTAAGACACATGGACTGCATTAACGCAAGTATTTATTTTATCTTTTACTTTAAAATTTTTCATCTAAACGTCTTTGACTAAACTATTAATTGTTACATTTCTCCTTTGTCTATTATGTGACTATTCACAGGCCTTTTTTTGTTGTTGTGTTAGACAAAAGTTATCCCCAGATAAATGCTCAAAACAAAATCATGCATTTGCCGTAGCCTTTCCTGTAGCAAGCCAGCCCACAGCTGCTGTAACCGGTCCAAAAGATCTGGCAGTTCAGCGTTGAGTCAGAGTTGATGTTCAAGCTGATCTCACGTTTGATTTGGGGAGGAACGAAGGACTTAGTTCAGGTCTTCACTCATTCTGGGTTTTCATCAAGCTATGAGTACCCACAGTGTAAACTCCATAGTGCCAACTGGTTGTACCTTCATGGTGACACCCACCTGGAACACTAAGGTATCCATTGGTTGTTTGCTTCTACCTGGATCCGTGGTTTCACACTGGATTTATGGTTTGCTTGTTTGTTTCATTGGTTTGGACCCAAGAGAACCAACATGAAGCAGGCAATCCATAGACAAAATACCAGTTAAAATAACCAGTTCTTTACAACAGAGTTTCCCAAGCTTTTTCATGCCATCCCAACAAACAGCATTAGCTTTAGGCCAGGGACCCTCTTGCAAACCCACATCAGTGCTACAAAATATGTAACGAAACATCAACTTTGTGAATGTTTTTGCTCATTTTTAGTCAATAATTATTATATTTGTTTAGCATAAGAATAACTGACATCTTTTAAACACTGTATTATATTCCCTCTGAAAAAACAACTTTTCAACAAACTGTTGATGATAAGAACAGAACAAAAGAAATCAAACCTCTCTTCAGCTCTCATAAATAAAAGTTCAATATATTATAATAAATTGTATTTGATTTTATGATAATTTAAAACATTTGTTATATCTATTTTTTTATTTTATGTTCCCTCCAGCTTTCTGAGGCCACCTTTGTGCACCCTGGAGGTCACATAGGGGTCTGCGAACCTCTTTGATAAACACTGGTTTACAATATAACTTTCTATTGTACCAAATCTTCACTTGTTAGTCACTTAAAAAAACATTTTTTAAAGAAAATTTACCATCACCATTCTAATCAATTTACCAAACTGGATGTTTAAAAATCATTTCTTTTTGTTCTGGTTGTTATAGTGGACTTTTTCCCTGGATGTTGTGGTGGAGCCCATCCATAATTATACCGTGACCCTTTTTAATTTGCCAGAACCCGATATGGGACATTACAGGATCGCCAAGCAAATTACCGTCCCAGGTGAGTCACAGTGAGATCATGATGATGAGGATTTTAATTTGCAGTTTTGAAAAAAAAAGCCTTCCTTTTTGTCATTTTCCTGGCAGCTGCATCTCTAATCTCTAACTTTATCTCCCAGTGGTTCATCCTGTTGTTTTCTAAGCTTTTTGCAAGGCAGAAATTTGTTTTTGATTAGAAGTACGTGTATTCATCTGTTCTTTAAGTGCACTAATTTATTCTTAAAAGTTGTAATAGTTGATTAAAAGATGCTTTAGCTATAAAATATTCTAATCATTTTTGTGTGTGTGTTGCCTGCCAGGATGTAACAACAAGAAAATCCAAAAGGCCCAAACATGTCAGGAAAATGGTAATGTTTCTTTTTCTCTTTAGTACTCAGTCAGATCGAGGAACCAAACACTGAGCTGTGGTTTTTTTCATAGGCAGTCTGTGGGATCCCAGCATTTCTGCTGGCTTCATTGATGAGAGATCTTCTGTTTTTGTGGCATTTGCTGCAGCACAGTATTCAGAGAGATATCAAGTTTCTATCCAGATTGATAAAGTGGACTGCTCAAAGATGATTTCTAAGGTAGCTGCTACTTTATAACATAATTATTTGAATAATTATGTTCAATTCTCAGCACTAACTATTTTGTCTTTTTGTTAAACTCATAGGAAAGCAGATCATTGTTAAACGTGACCTTTGAGGATGGTTCTTGTCGGGTCTTACATTGTAAAATGCTGGTAAAGGTGAGTCACATTTTATTTGTATCATCTGCCTCTAATAGCTCATCAAGTACTGCTTCATGTGTTGATGAAATTTATTCTGCTTGTTTGACAGATCCAGCCTTTTTTTGTCGGCTGCAAAAACAACTGTGAGGTTGTCAGCAAAAATGTTACTTTGTGCCACAGTGGGTATTAGTTGTGACATAAATATTTTTAACTTTATAAATGGATTCGGCCTTTTTTCTTCTTATACCTTAAATCAAAACATGTTATTATACTTTAGAGTATAGGTATTTAATTATTTTTTCTGTCTTTCTGTTTCAGATGATCCCCCACATCCAGCTCGGCAGACCTGCATCAGGTTGCTCCTGGTCTTGGTTTTTACTTGTTGCTTACTGTATTTACTGTGGAGAACTTGTCGTAAAGGTTAGACTTCCAGTGAATGCATGTCATTTAGAACAACCGGCTTCAGCAGAGAAATAATTAGCTATTATTTTGTCTCTCAGGACCTCTGAACCCACCTATATCTGCTGAAAAACAACAACCAGAAGTCCTTCAAGTTCAGGAGAGGAAGCGTGTCTTCATCATTTACTCGCTCGACCATCCTTTGTACAAAAACATTGTCCTGAGGTTTTGTGCCTTCCTGGTGACAAAATGTGGCACTGGCGTGATCATAGACCTGCTGGATTCAACCAGACTGGGAGAGCTGGGAAGCATCCAGTGGTTGGACTGGCACAAAGAGCAAATAGAGAGCTCATCGGATAAGATTTTAATTCTCTGCTCACGGGGTGTCCAGGCCAAATGGAGAGCCATGTGTGGGGACAAGCAGGTGTTCCTGAAAGAGGATGCCCGCTCACCTATGGGCGACATGCTCACTCCGTCCCTCGCTCTTATGGTCCCACATTTTATCCGGTCCAAGTCCTTCGAAAAGTTTATTGTGGCCTATTTTGATGGCATTTGTTCTGAGGAAGATGTTCCTTCACCCTTTAACATTACAGTTCGATACAAGCTCATGAAACAGTTTGAAGAGGTCTTCTTTAGAATACTGAACACAGAGAAACATGAACCAGGCCGAGTTAAACAAATAAACGGACTGTCCGAGGACAAATACCACGAGTGTCCCTCAGGGAGAGCCCTGCACGATGCAATCCAGGCTTTCCATGCTTATCAGCTGGAGAAACCGCAGTGGTTTGAAGAAGAATTACTGGAAAGCTCCGATTTGGAGGAGGAAGAGGTTGTAGATGATGTTGATGAGAACAACAAAACATTCACAAAGCAAATATTATATTGTGTTCTTGAGTCAAACCAAGTTGTCAGTCATGTGGAGATAGAAGAAACTGGTTTCACTGTAAACAACACTGAACTTCAGCTGTCTGAGTTCAACTTTTCGAATATTGCAACTTTTCAGCAGGTTAATGGAATATAATTTGATTCTGAAGTCCTGACGATAAGAAAGTTCAAAATTTAGAAATATTTATCTAGAAAGTTCATTTCATGTTCATATATATAT